GTCCGTGAGGACTGTGGAGGATGGTGGTGGTTTCAGCTGCTTAGATTCGTTGAATCTCATCTGCCCTTAAAATGGTCGATCATCTTGCTTTTATATGAGGAGCTTGTGATGTGTGATCAGGAATGGGCATAGGAATCTCAGAAAACAACATTTGCCCTAATTCCTCACAAAATAGGCAAAGCCCATATGTGAACAAGGGTAACACAGTATCTGGTTCAGACTTGATCATGAGGAAGAAGAGCTCAACTCCCTATTAGGACAAAATCCTAGGAATGAGATAAATTGGCATTTTTCTACTCACAGCTTCCTAAACCGCTCCTAAATATCACACACATAAAGTGCAGAATTACCTGTGTGAAAGCTCCCCTGCACAGCCGTGCGAGGTCAGGTGTCTAGGTGCTCTAGGTGTCTTCTTATTCCCTTATAATAAGGTAGTAAGACAACCTCCGCGCAGCCGTGCGAGGTCAGCAGGGTCTCAGAACCCAGGGCTCTAGGTGTCTTCTTATTACCTTATAATAAGGTAGTAAGACAACCCCCGCGCAGCCGTGCGAGGTCAGCAGGGTCTCAGAACCCGGGGCTCTGGTTGTCTTCTTATTACCTTATAATAAGGTAGTAAGACAACCTTCTACACTGCAGCTGTGCTAAATTCTATGTGCTGATATGAGATAGATGCTGCCTGTGTACATATCCACCTTTGTTTGCTTAAATTTTACAGTCTCGCTCTTGTTTAGGGTGATGTAAGACAGGTGGTTTGGGATGGGTTGCACGCAGGTGGCCCCAACACGTGGTGGGGTGGGGACCATGGCAGGGCGGGGACCTTCTCTCCTCCCCTTCTCCATGGGCTGCCTCCCCAGAGCAGAGCTCCCCTCAGGATCGGGAAAGCCAAACCATCAGGGGCCACTCTCCAACCCTGTCTGAGCTTGGTTCCCGTGCATCTAAAACCAGTAATGTTTCTAAAAGAAAAGGATCTTGTTATTTTCATTTTATCCAAAAGTCATCTGGGTGATAGTTTAATCTCAAGACTCAAAGACCTTCTGGAAAACAAGACGGGACCTCCCAGGTCAGAAGGTGGCTGCTGTGCACTGACACAGCGGCAGAGGCCTGTGCCCAGGACTCCTCCCCACAAAGCCTGGGCTTTTGTTTAATTTTGAACTTTGGTGGGCTGTGGTCTTCCCATCCCTTATATAAAGGCTGAAAGGAATCCTGATTTTTAGTTCACAATCTTGGAGGACAGGAAATGTTTTTCTGCACTTTTAGTAATTAAAGGACAGTTTTGTAGTCAGCTCAAAAGAGATGAGGAAGACATCTTTCTCATCTGGTAGCCTAGCATATTGTCTTTAATTTTTAACCATAAGTTCAATCTAGAAATTAAAAAATAAATATTAGATTATGATTTTCTCATTTATTTTGTAAGTACAGAAAATATTTCCATGGATGAACATATTCTTTTCCTGTTCCGGCATGTAACCTGATGGTAACCCGATGGTAACCTGATGGTAACCCAATGGTAACCCAACAGTAACCCCATGCTAGTTAACCTGATGTTGGTTAACAAACCTGATCCGTTAACCCAATGTTAGCCTGATGTTAAGGGGGGAATTAACCACAAATGGACCACAGATATGCCCTGTGGTGGGTCCAAGTAGGTGGCTTATATGTAAAACTGAGACGTTGTGCAAGGTTCAGAGCTGTTTTGCTTAAAGCCTGAGGTTAAGAAGAATTGCTGCATGTTGTGGGAGCAGCCTTGACCCAGAAGTGACACATAGGTGTCCTGACCTGGGAAGGGAAGGTGTTGGCAGTGTGTTTCTGTTTCTGTCTCTCCATCCCCTATCTCTCTCTGCCTCTCTGTCTCCTCCCTCTCTGCCTCTCTGTCCTCTCCCTCTCTGTCTCTCTGTCCCTCTGGTCTCTGTCTCTGTCTGTCTCTCCATCTCTCTCCAGTGGAGACCCAGCAGTGAGCACAGGCCTCCCAGGAGAAGGCTGGTCCCATCTGCTCACTCCCTCAAGAATGCAGGATTAACTCCTAGGGGGCATCCAGGGCTTTCTGGCACAGGCTGGGGAACCACCCAAGACCCTGACCATGGCCTCTGAGCTGAGTCAGGCTCCTCTTCCTCAGCACCCACTGGCCGTGGGAGAAGCAGTCAGGCCCACGTGCTCCGAGGCTGTTGCAGAGAGAACATGTGGTCCTTGGAAATTCCTGTGCTGTCACACTGAAGGCCAAGAGGACAGTGTTAGGGACACTTTTGGGAGCCACAGTGTTGGGCTGAGCCCCAGCCCTAGGTCAGCAGATGGGGCCAGACCAGGACAGGGCCCACTGCACCAAATGCCACGTGGAAACCTCCAGGGAGCAGGAAGGCCCCCAACAGGCCAGTTTTTCTTAAAAAGTAGAGTTTGGCAACCACCTACCCTGCTACTTTTACTCCTGAGGGAAAGTCACCTGGAATAGCCTGATGTTAACCTGATGTTAGTTCAGTGGTAACACCATGGTAACCCAATCTTAGTATTTGTTAACCTGATGTTAACCTGTTAACTCAATGTTAGCCTGATGTTAACCAATGTTTGTTAACCTGATGTTAAGCTGATATTAACTCAAAGTTTGTTAACCTGTTAACTGGATGTTAACCCAATGTTAGCCTGCTGTTAACCAATGTTTGTTCACCTGACGTCAGCCGCTGTCAGCCTGCCTGTCTCCCTGTCTCCTCCTCTTGCCTCCTTGCACCTGCCACCTGGTCTGCCCTGTGGGGCTCTGGCTCTCTCTCATTCTCTCTCTCTCTCCCCTCCCCCCCTCTTTCGCTCTCATTCTCTTTCTCTCTCTCTCTCTCCCTTCCCTCTCTCTCTCTCTTTCTCTCTCTTTCTCTCTCTTGTTCTCTCTCCCTCTCTCTCCCTCTCTCTCTCTATCTCTATCTCTATCTCTCTCTTGGATCCTGGCCCCTGCCCCATTCAGGATTTGCTAATGAAAGACAATTAGATCTTTAAATTCAATTTGTTGAAATTTTGTTTTTTAAATGGCGACCTTTACCATGCCAACACTTTGCCATTCCAGTCATTCTTAATTCGCATAGAGAATGAATTCTTAAAAATATTATATGGTGCCAGGTGCAGTGGTTCTGCCAACAAACCTAGCACTCTGGGAGGCTGAGGCAGGTGGATTACTTGAGTTAAGGAGTTCGAGACCAGTCTGAGCAAGAGTGAGACCCATCTCTTAGAAGAGCTGGGTGTTGTGTTGGACACCCATAATCTCAGCTACTCAGAAGACTGAGGCAAGAAGATCAACTGAGCCCAAGAGTTTGAGGTTGCTGTGAGCTATGATGCCATGGCACTCGATCAGGGTGACAAAGTGAGACTATGTCTTAAAAGTAAAAATATTATATGGAACAATATTGGCTCTATCTTTGGAAAGCATTTTTTTCAGCACTTACAGGGGCAGGTGAGCCCTCAGACCTGGTGGAATGAGACTGACCCACTTCTGACACAGCTGACACTCACAGACGCAGCGCTCTGCAGACTGCACCAGGGTGGGCTGTGTGCCAGCACCAGCCAGGCTAGGGCCACAGGTGATGACCCTCTCTGCTGTGGGCGGTGTTGGAGGGCCTCCCTCGGCAGGCTGCACTTCCCTCCCCACCCTGGGAGCTGCCAAACAAGCTCCAAAAGGGACAGTTGAACCCCTCCCATAGCCCTCCAGAGTTGCGTGCCTTCTGTGGGACATCTGCCAATGACAAGGGCTGTGAGGTGTGATGGGCACAGGCTGCCAGAGCAACGTCCCACAGTGATGACATCTTACCTTCGTCTTACTGTCAAAACAGGTGAATCCCAGCGTGAAATCCACTGTGAAGCACAGAGCTTCTCCTTGCCAGCTGCACGTATATGTTTTGGACTAGAAGGAAGCATTCATTTTGAGAAAACATCCTTTAATGATGCTGCTTACAGTCACTAGATATTAGCACTAGTAATCCCCGCTTTGCTCAAACACAATTTGTTTTAAAAAGTCCTAACATGCAAACTACATGGACCCTGACTGGAGGGCCCGTGGTCATGAGAGACCTGCAGAAATGTTTCCACGTAGGATCTTTCTTGTTTTTTGTCTCCAGGCAAATGTTTCCAACTTTGTAGACTTAGGTATATCTGTAGACATCTTATCACTATAGCTAAACTCAAATGCACAGCACACAGCCCAGGTGCCTCTGCTCTCTGTTTGAAAACACACTTCTGCTCACTAGGCTGCTGGCCGACTGTGCGGCGAGCCCCTTTTTCTTTTGCTCACACAAGTCAGATCAGGAAGCACCAGCCTCACAAACAAACATTCTAAAAAGCAGGAAAATTTAAAACAACACTGAAGGGCAGGAAACTCCAGCAGTGACACCACTAAAAAATGCAGATAAACAAAAGCAAAAACTGTAACAGCCCAGAGAGTAGTAGGAAAGTGAGAGGGTCCGACAGCAGGCTGAGCAAGGGGCCCGTGCAGGGTGGCTGGATTGGGGGTGGCTCAGCCTACACGGCCTTCAGAGGAGACACCTGCTGTCTCAGGCCCTCAAGGCTGTACAGCCTGGGCTACCATCACACTCTTCCAGGCACGTGGGTGAAGAGGGAGTTTTGTATTGTTGTAACCCAGTCAGAGAACTTGCTTCTCAGCCTGTTCCCAAGTCTCCTTCTTCCCTCTAGGGTTGCCAAGTACAGAACTGTAACCATTGTTACCCAAACTGTAACTATTACTATCTAAACTGTAACCATTGCTACTGTAACCACTGTCACTCAAGCTGTAACCATTAATAACTAAACTGTAAACTCAAACTGTAACCCTGCCAATGGTGCCCTGCCAATGGCAACATTCCTTGTACACACACAAAAAACTATAAAAGACAAAAAAACCTACAGTTTGGGGCTGCTTGTCTTAGGACAACAGCCCCCTGCACAGGTGTGAATAAATCACCAATTATTTACATCAGTGTTGGTCCAAGTCCATTTTTTCCAAGTCCTTTAAGTCATTTCATCTGGAGGCCCCAGCGAGATCCTCCCCCTTGGACCCCTGCCTGGACCCATTACCGGCCAACAGCTCCAGGGGAAGGCCGCGGAAAGGATGTCCCTCCACCCTGGAATGCTCAGCTGTGTAGAAACTCGGGTCATGGGTTTCCAAATTTTCTGTTTTAGTGATTTAATTATGGCGCCTTAAGTAAGTCTGTCTAGGTTTCTAAAGAATCTGGGGGAACATGGGCTATGCTGGACGCAGCCTGCGATGCCCCTCCCCTGAGGCAGGAGGAAGATGTCCCCCTGGCCTCTTTAGGTTGTTTATTTTTGTGTTGTCATGTTTGCAACTCCTTATTAGACTATTTTAGTATTAGCAATCTTTTTAGACTGTTCGGATTTACAGGCTAGTCCTGTTCTAGTAAATTGCA